GATAAAACATGGACAGCATGACCTGCCTAAAAAGGAAATCACTAATCCTTTCAAGCTTCATAGAAGACTCTAATGAATAAAGAGTAGATACATTGCTATTCCACCCGAGTCCTTTGAAATGGGCAGGAGTGATCGCTTTACAAAAAGCATTGACAACAGTTAATGCCTTCTCAGCTGGTACCAATACCATGAGCGAGCAGATCGAGTTGAGAATAAAATCAACCTGAACAGAAGAACAGATTTATTTATGGTTCAAGAGAAGAAAAAAAGCAGAAAATTTTACTGGAACACTGCTTACCTCCACAGGATGTGGACAAGCACCCATTACCGTAAGTTGTGAACAGATATCGATCAAATTATCTGACACATCGGCCGGCCCTAAAATCACACTCTTTAGCGGAAGACCTAGATTTTTTGTCGGATACACACCTTTCGGGTCCAACTTAGCTTTTCCAACGTTGTTGAGATATTCGCGGAGTTGTTGAAGCTGTTCACCATCGTCTACAAACGCAAACACGGGGAGGATTTTATGATCCGCCATCGTTCTCCTTTAAAGTGCAATACAGAAAAGAAATATCAGAAAAAGATGAAAAATTTGCCCACAACATGCTATAGTAGAAACATCGACAAGAAAACGAATGGTACTTCATTAGTACATGTTTCATTCCGTTTTATCGTCGAGAAAAAATCACACAAAAATCGTTTCAGAGGATGAGTGAGGACCCGATAAGGAGAGCAGTCGAGGACAAGGTTTAAATGAAATGTGAGGAAAAGGTATGGTAAAGTAAGCAGTACGAAGGAGATTGCACTATTTTGCTTGAGAAGGGTCTCCGCAAAACGAAAGGCCAAATCCTCACTAAGGCATCTACATAGAAAGCTTGAACAATTCACCAAAAAAAGATCCAGATTTCTGATACAGCTGTGATATTGAACATCATTCTCCTAAGGAATCAAAACGATGCAGACCCTCCAAAAACACCTAAACAACTGAGTCAACTGCATCGCAGAAGCAGGTGTAGAAAATGGCACTGGAGATCAAGAAAAAGGTTATGCACTAGTGAAAAAGAAGGGGTCTCTCGGTAACAGCAGGCATTGTGGTGCACAGTCTGCCCTAATTACGGTTTGGCCCAAAAAGCCTTTCAAAGTTACGAACTGCTACCAACATGCTCCTACATTGTTTCTCCTCTTTTTATATGATGCATGTGTTTTGATGTTTGATGACATAAACGTGTATAAAGTAATATTTACCTAGTGAGCAGCTACACTAAGCCTAGGAAAGGGTAGAAAATCCCCCGTAGAAAGCGAGGATTGCTAACTACCCGGGACTTTCCCCTCCCTTCTGAAGCTTCTTCCTAATCCACAACATTATGAGAATATGCTATCTGTAGTTTTGAACACGTTGAGTGTCCTCAAACGCATGCCCGCCCCCCCCCCCTTCCCTGAGTGATGGAAAAACAGCGATTAAAAAAGGAGGCATGGGCCCAAACTCTATTGTAACGCACTCAGCTATTAGCAGATCACACGTTAAAAAAAGGAATAAGTGCAGGGCATGCAGAAAATCGCACTAGCTACGCAATTACAAAATACGAGATTTCAATATGGAAGAACTCGAACCTGTTTTCGAGTTATGGTGATCCTTCCGATGGATGTCACACCTCCTGTTTGAAGTTGCTTTAACTGGGTATTCGCTCTTCGCAAACTGTATTCAATCGGAAGTATGTCGGATGGCTGATAACGTTTTGCCGCCTCACGGAATTCACACTGTACTTGCTGACGAACCGAAGGATCAAGTGGGCGGGCTGCACGCAGAAAGTCACGGTATGTTTTAAGCACGAGGAGCTGTAGCTTCGAGTGAGCTCGACCAGCACTCATGTACTTGGCGCACGGCCTGAATTATAAAAATGGACATCTCACAGGCAGAGTAAGACCACTAGCTAAGCTAGAACGATAACGAATTAGTCGACATGAGTCGACAGCAAAACTGTCACCGGTTGGTAAATCTTACAACTAGCTACATCTCAGGAAGGCGCCCAGAAAAGACGATTAAATCGCACAACACTATCATTGTTGTGCTTTTCTGGAGTAAGGGACTAGCGCATTGCCTCTACTCATACGAAGCGGTCATGGATTTCAAACGTGGAGAGCCGTAGAACAGTCAAATCCTAATGGCAATAACATTTAACTGAAAATGATTCCACTACGGTTTAAGCAGCTTTCAAGCTCGAAGAGGAAAAAAAAACTAATTATGAAAGATCTACAAAAGCAAACCCTAGTAAAAGTCTCTCCAAAGAGTAGCTTTGTTCCACAAAAGTAGGTCAGGTAAAAAAGAACAGGAACATATCGAAAAATGATATTGAAAGATGGGAAAGGCAGTATATATCTTCAAACAACACATAAAATTATGGAAAACTATTCGGAAAAGGTACGGTAACGACAAAACGCTATTCTGGCACCAGAAAACCGGACATTATCGGAAAAGTTTATTTTTAAAAATTCCTAGAAAAGTACCCGTTGTTATTGAGCGAAGAGCTGATAAACAAACTGAGAAAAGAGAAACTTCTAATAATGAAGGAACTAGTGCATATCAGTACCACCTTACACGAGTAAATGAAGACTTCTCTCCACTTCCAAAGTTACCAACAACAAAAAAATAGTTAGTGACAATAATAAACAAAAACAATGAAATTTAACAACCTCGTATCATTTAACAGACAAAATTATACCCATTGCACCAATTGGAACTTGCGTTTACCCCAACATATCAAAGTGAGATCAGGCGCTCCAGTAAGACTTATCCGCTTGAAATCAAGTGGCACAGTGTTGTCAATGAACTGAAAGGTAGAATACTATCAAAAAGTAACGTCAACAACACTGACAGCAGAAAAAGTCGAGACCTTCTCTCCGTTGATTTTAAAGGCTCCTTTCGTCATTAACATGGAGCCCTTTATATTATCTGCTCTTGTTCGGTCGGCCAGATCACCCATAGTTTCAACTTCACTGCGAGCTACTTTCACGGTGGTACCAAACAGTGATAGGAGCTCGGACCTGTTCAAAGACTGAACATCTTCCATAGAACCTGAAAGATCATCTAATAAGCACATGTCCCAATCTGACGAAGAACGAGCAAAAGCAGCGGTGAACAAGGACTTGTCGAAGACCTTATCAACAGTGTACAATTCCTTCTCCGAAAATCAAAAGTAGTTTCTACTTTACCACAGAGGAGTCAGCGAAGTCATCTCTGTAGACCCTTCCCGTAATAGACACGAACTTTACACAGCTGTAAAAAATAACCTTGAAAGAGTGCTCTAGAACATCGCTGAGCAGTGCGCAATCCTTCGTCTCCGTGCACGATCTGAGTGAGCTCAGTAGCAAGCGCATCCTGTGCAATCCATTTCCCCAAATTTGAACGATGTTCGTCGATCTTCTGCAGCACATCTTCCCATGGAGCCAAACTGAAATTACGTTACAGTATGCTTACATTTATGCTTTCATGAAAGGGAGCAAGTGTTAGATTTTTCGTGTTTACTATACCGCATTTATATAGAAAAC